ACTCTCTCTCTCACACACACACACACACACACACACACAAACGCACACACACACATGCAGAAGACCCACATAAATCCATGTCTCTTTTTCTCACTCCCATAAATGTGTGATCCCCCTCACACGTTACGTGGATAACACAGGTAGCACAGATGCAATGTCTTAACAACGCCGTACACACTATTGCCTCTCATGAATATTAATGGGATCAAAAAATAGCAGAAATGCATGTGTTGTTTACTTTATTTCAGTGCTATATACACTTTCCATAGGCATATTTGTCTTTTAGAATATCTCCTGCATTATGTATTTGCTCTGGGCACATATGGCTGCTTCCTCCCGAGTTTTATTCACCGTTGTTTCAACTTTTCTGTGCTGCAACTTTGTTTTAATCATCTGACAGATAAGCCTGCCAGTATGATAATATGGATCCGTCAATCCCAATGAAGTTCACGGGGTTAAAGCATACAGTACTGCCCCCCTCATTATGAGCGACAGCATCGAGACTATAGATGCGTCTGTGGACACACGAGCGCAAGAATATTCCATGCCACAGTATTTGATGAGAAAATGAGTTGAGACACCCAGTCCCCTGTTTATGTGCCAGAGCAAGGTCTCTTCCTGCTCTTATTCTAATTAATTACATTACAGAATTGATTGTTTGGAGTGTGAGCCTGCAAAAAAAAATGTGTTTGGAATGACTTATTATCTGGCTGGACAAAAGAGATGAAATATTAGGCGTTAAGTGGCGCTGGTAATAGAATTCCTCATGAAAGCTCTATTGATCAGGGTGGCCGGGCCTCCGGAGAATTCACATATCATGCAGTCTTAATTACACGCCAGCCAGGAGAGCTAAGGTCAACCTGTAAGTGTCTGAGCATGCACACACACAAACACACACTCACACGCACAGCTCCACATCACAGGCTGAGCCAGAGTGAATGCAGAAAGACGCCGATACATACATGGCAACTGTTGTCACAACAGATGCTTTCAATCACACACATACAGTTAATACTGCACATGTATGTAAGGCTGCCACTGATGATTGTTTTCATTATCTGTTAATCTGCAGATTATTTTCTCTACTCATCATTTGGTCAATAAAATGTCAAATGTTTTGTCCGACAGATGATCTAAAGAGATTGAGTTGACTGTCATAGAAGACAAACACTCACATGAGAATTTTCTCTTTATCAACTAATTGTTGCAGTTATACATGTAAGGCATAACATTTATCAATATGTAAACGAAGAGCTAATTAGATTGTAGTTTTTAAATGGTGTGGTTTTAATGTGAAAAGTGGTTTGGATTATACCTCTAGCACCACGAAGTAAACAGATTACACAATGCATTTTGAGTTGTCTCAGTGGTTGAGTATATGGGGTGACAGGGCCTTGTCCATAGCTGTCCCCTCCCTCTGGAACACTCTCCCCAAACACTTTTAAGACTACACTGATCTGTCCCAGTTTAAATCACTACTCAAAACACATCTTTTCAAAACGGCTTTTAACGTGTGAATGATGTTGGGTGTATTTTATTGTAGTCTATTTTGTGATTGTTTTTAACCAATGTAAAGCGTCTTTGAGTACCTTGAAAGGTGCTCTATAAATAAAATGTATTATAAGTATTATTATTATGACCCCAGTGTTGGGGTCTTCAACTACTTTGAAAGCATAGCTCTCGTTTTGTTAACTAAAGCTACCAAGAGAAAAAAAAAGATCAAATTGACAATGGTGTGCATGTGATACGAAATTATAACAACGTATGATACAAAAAAGTCGCATGCCTGCATAAAATGCCACCTAAATTATTTGATTACAAAAGGTTCCCACTTATTCACTGGTCATAAACCAAAAAATTAAAAACCCCACTATTCATGGTTAAGTGCAAAATATATCCGCTATGGTTTTGTAATGTAATAATTAGGGTTGAGCCAAATACTCGAATGAAATGAGTATCTGGTACAGATAATTTATTTTTTACAAGTAGGAGTCTCATCACAAGTAAAATGTGTCATTACCTGTACTGCGTTTTGTTTAACGTATTACTCTTGTGATAAAAAATGATCTGAAGATCAATTCTGAGGCTGTTCTATAATAGGTGTGTGCAATATGGACAAAAAATAATATCTCGATATTTTGGGAGATTTTGAAGATAACGATAATTAGACAATATTCTTTTAAATATGTGTTTTTAACAGCCTGAGTTATAGCTCATTAATTATTTCTCATGGATGATATTAATGGAAAAATGTTCTTAACATTTCTTGCTGCTTTTTTACCTGCTCACTCTGTTAGACTCTGGTGACGGCCTTTTGTAGCGTCAATTCCGGGTCCATTTGCAACTGTTCAGAGAGGCGTTTGTCCCGCAGACTCACCACAAGCCTGTCCCTCACCATCTCATCATGTAGAGCCCCGTAACCACAGTGCTCCGCCAGGCAGTGCAGCGCCGTAATGAAACTGTCGGCTGTCTCGCCCGTTTCTTGATGCTGCTGATTAAACTTTGCTCTCTCAAAGATCACAATCCTGCGATTCCCTTCTGCTTGGGTCTCCAATCCAGAAGCAATGCGGAATCTGTCGAAGCGTTTAACTCCATTTCAGCCTTGAAGGTGAACTTTTCCGGTGGGGAGACTTGAAACTGTGCCATGTTGCCGCTTCGTTGAGCTAACTGTGGCTAGGCTAAGTAGCTCCGTAGACGGTCTTCCAGTACTGCTAACTTTAGCCTGACAGGCTGGGACCTATCACTACAGTTGACCCACGTCTTCCGAAGCTGCTGGAGCATCCGTGGGCGGTGTTGCTATGTTGTCTCGCTAATGTTTGTTTAGCAGCAGGCTGACCTGCCAGGAAGGTGCCAGTGAGAGATCATGTAACCACGTAGGCGTACTGCGGTGTGTGTCAACGTGTGTTTTCAGTTGTTTTTGTGAAGTCATTTGCATACTCAATAACGTAAATTTGCACATCGTTAAAACAACAATGACGATATTATCATTAACGATATATATCGCCCACCCCTATTCTATAAGTACCGTTCTCATAGATAATAAATATCGCGACTTCTGATCAATCCATATAAATTTCAGGCTTAAAATAACAACTTCTGATTAGGTCCAACCCACTTTGTATTTAAACTCCACCCACTTCTGGCATAAACTTCCAGCAGAGAAAAAAAGCACTTGGTTAGCTTAACCTTTTGGAACTTAAATGTATACATTGGCCTCACCATGACAACGTTATGCAAACTAAACATTTTGTAAATATTAACACAAACAGAACTTATGAACAAAATGATTTTACTGATTGCAATACCACTTTTGTTATTTACTGTCCGACTTGTCCGTGTGTGGACGGCTTCTTCTATATAGGCGTACAAAAAGATCCCTGAGGGATCACATAGCTGAGCATAGATATGCCATTAGAACAAAAAATCACGACTACCGCATGGCTAGACATTTCAGTCAAGTTCATAATGCTAATGATTCCTTTTTTAACATAGAGGCAAGACTTTAACCTTTGGTCAGGGGTGACAGAAAATGGAAACTGAATCAAAGGGAAGCTTTTTAGCTCCATCAGCTAGATGCTTTAAAGTGTCCTGGTCTCAGTGAGGATACAGACTTCACATGTTTTTGTGATTTGTCATTGTTCTCTACAAGCTTCACCACTTTTCTCACAGCCTTTGTGTTCAAATAAGTGTGTATGTATTTATATTTATTTTGTCTGCGTATCTTATCTCATGTCACTTTGCATTAACTTGTTATTTTGTTATTATTGTCTATTTGTTTTACCTGTTATGCCATTATATGGGTTATGTGGTGGCCTCTGATTGGTTCCTGCCACTATATAGGTGTGTTGTATGTCTTGAAAGACCTGCTGTGGTCGAAACATGTCGGCTCTTTTAATGATTTAGCCACTACAACAAAGGCTTTTTAATATTTCGTTGCTCATTTTTCGGTATTTTTGTGCCTGGATTGTTCCCCTGCTGATACAGATACAGATAATTTAGTTGGTTGAACAGATACAGACAGATACAGATAATGGTGTACTCACTCATCCCTAGTAATAATGTCCTTCAGTCAGACTCCTGCCTTCAGAAACTGGTGTGCAGGTAGGAGGGTGCACCCAGCAGGATTACTCAGTTAGCCAGGTCACTTCTGGCACATTTAGGTGTTGCAGGAGCATAAAGACAAAAGTAATTAGAGATAAATAGACTTAAAGTAAGAAATAGTAAAAAAATAAATAAAATAGGAACAAAAATAAATTGTAAAAAAAAAAAATCTGATAGCAGACAGAGTAGAGAATTGATGATACGAGATCAGACAGATTCTGTAAATGACCTTTTCTGTGCCATCATGTCTTCATGTGTGAAATCAGTAAATGCCACATAAACAGCTGGCTTTTGTTGTTTTAGCAGCGTGGGCAATTCTGCATCATTTGACCTTTTGCTCTCTCCCTCTCTTTCATTTACTCCCTCTCTCCACCATCCGTCCTCTCTCACTCTCTCTCTCTGTGTCCTTCCGTCCACTGCGGCGCCCCCTGCCCCGTGTTGTGACAGGCTTGTCAGGCTTGTGTTTGGCTGCACAATGTGCAGCACTGGGAGGCAGCCAGTTCAGCGTGTAGAGCCTCAGGGCTTTGGAGAACATCTCAGGATGTATCTGTCTCTCTCTCTCTCTCTCTGTCTCTGGTTGGTTGGGGGTCTACCAGGGCATGGACGCCATCATATCACCCGGCACCTGCTACCCCTGACCTCACTGCAACCAGGGGAGCACGCACACGCACAAATTGCAAGACTCACTGACATTGATCACAGACAAAGCTGCCACCATTCACCCATAACTCCATCCATCTGTCATCATGTGCATTGATTCCTCCAAAGGAACTCTTTGTCTTTCACACAGTGTGGTTTTTACATCGGTGCAGATGGCACATCAGGTTCAACCTTGTTAAGCCAGTTTCTGTCATATTTGTTGTCGCCTGGTTGTGACAGTGTTTTCCTGTGTCTTCAAGGCACCAACGTCCACGAGGCCAAGAGGATCCTGAGCGAGAGCGGCCTGCCCATCACAGCAGCAGATGACCTGGATGACGCCGCCAAGAAAGCGGTGGCCGCCATCAAGAAATAGAAAAGCCTCAGAGTAACCTCACCATACTCTGTCCGCCAACATTCATGCAGTCTCAGATCATCACCGTCAGCCTTTTCTTACACATGCAGACCTCCAGGACTTCATGTCTTTGCACTCACAGGCCTTTGCTTTTTTGTTTCAACACTAGCTTCCCAGCGTCTGTATCGCAGCTTTCTAGGTGCTGTGTCACCTTAACACCTCACAGAATTTAAATTTTACACTCACCTCACCTGTGTGGGAAAAATAAGCAGCTTTTAATTTTTAAAAGAAAATGAAATAAATGCATAGTAATTAGGATAAGTCTGTAACTCTCAGGCTTGTCGGCACAATCTTGTCTTGAAATATCATAAAGTCTCACAGATTAGATGGAATGGAGACATGACGCTTTTCGCATTCCATTTTTCAGAGGTAACAGACACAGCTTTCACTCTGCATAATGTGGCATATGTATGCAATATTATTTAAAAGAAATTTTCACCTCCGTTCTCAGCCAAGGGTATTTTTAAAGGTACAATATGACTGAAAACAGCTTGTTCTTGTGAAATCATTCAGTGGCACTTCACCAAAACAGTGACTTCATTGTCAGCAATTAATCCATTAATCCATCCAATGACGTACAGTATATGTATTTAATGAGGTGAATGAAGTACCCATGCTGTGAAATTTTGTACATCATGTCTTAATTGTTAAGCGCTCTATGGCAAACAGTGTGTTAACTGCTTGAATCTGTGCCTGTTTCGTGAAGGCCACAGGGTTTTATAAACTATCCTGCCAACTCTTTCTGTACAAGTAGTTTCATACAGAGGTGCTGAGAAAATCAAAAACGTGCAGCAATTGTATTTACATTTTTTTTATAATCATGAATGTATATTGACAGGAGATCTTGAGTACAGTGTCAAAGCTGTATATATAATTCAGGAGATTAAAACAAATATTTCAAGACTGCTGTCTCGTTTGTTTGTTCACTTTATATTTGGGGGGGGGGGGGCAGAAGAGGATGGAAAGTTACAAAATATGGAAATCAAAACTCTGCTAATCCTACTCCTGTTCTGCAAATTAGCAGAATAAATGTAACATCAGTGGAGGAAGCAGACACACAGCAGTTTTTACAGTTGTGAGCCTTTGAGCTCACACCATTAACTACCTGAGGAGAGAAACACACAGTCCAGCCTTGAGTAGGAGCTTATTCCAAATAATTCAACTTCTCGTTGCCAACACTGCTACTGCTTAAAGTTTATGCTTTAGATGAACCTGCTATATGTTTTATCTGAAGGTCAATATGTCCAATATGTTTAGTTTCAAACTACGGTAAGATCCAGATCAGCTCCATAATTGAGTTTATAAAAGAAGGATAGGTTGAGGTGGGAACCAGAAAGAAAATTTAACAGTCCATGGTTAAACTCGTCTCTAAGGCTGCAGCTTATGATTTTCATTATCTAGTAGCTGCCATTTGTTTTCTGCATTAATCATTCAGTCTATGAAACATCTGAAAACAGTAAAATATGTCAGTCAGTTTTTCCAGAGTCCAAGGTGAGCTCTTCAGACCTCTTTTACGCTCATCAAACACTCCAGAATCCTGATAGATGCCAGATGCTTTTCTCCAAAGTTTACAGTAATTAATTGCTACAGCAAGTTTGGTGTTGTCGCTAAAAAAATAACAAAATTGTTTGAACAGATTTTCATGGTATGAGTGTTACAAGACAAAGAAGCAAATCAGCTGTAACCATCTGATGTTTGGCATTTTTGCTTGACAGTTTCTCAAATGAAGAATCCATTATTAAATTAGTCACTTGTCTTTATTTTGTGCCACGGTGGAATAAAAGCAACTCAGACGCTGAAAGTGTTGAACGAAGATAACACACTCTCGAGCTTAACGTTAGACATCATTGCAAAAACTCTCATGAATAAATGATCGGCTGTTGATCTGCAAAGTGGAATTATTCTTAACAGTATCAAGATTTTTTTTTTTAAATGAGAAAAGAAAGATGAATATTTCAAATATTTTAATGTGTATTAAGCAGCCTTGTAACTTGTGACAACACATCCGTAGTCGCTGCTGGCTTAAATAGTTTTTAATCAAAGATAATAGAAAGATGAAGTGATACAAATTTCAATCGAATACTTTAATCTTTCTTTTTTTATATTAATTGTCTCCACTGCATTGAATAATTAATCTGCTGAACTCAAAAAAACAGTGCAAGTGCAACAACAGTAGCTTTCAACCTTTTTCGTGTCAAGGACCCCTGAATTGATACACATCAGGTCAGCGACCCCCATTTGATAGAATCTTGTTTCAGGGAGCTCCATCTGAACAGACTGTGGTTAAAGCTACTCTTACCTTTCCTGCATTTCACACAGCACTTAGAAATAAATTTGAAGATCCACAA